ATGTGTAGTGCTGCCACTGTTATCAGCTGTTTTCTCCTTGTTTGCTTCATTGCTATCACTACTACACTGAGAAAGTTCCCAAACACTAATATGGAACAACGGTTAATAAAACTGATAACAATGACTTAGTCCCCATTGAAAACTTGGAATCATGTTCTATTGCCGTTACTAGATCACGACCAGCCACTGAGGGGAAACTCAGAGAAATTCATGAAGCTCTGAAAGCTGATGAGCAATGCATTATGGTTGGACTACTCTCTTAGGAAGGCTGATGCAGATACTGTCCAGCAGATCCAGATGTAAAGAGGTATCATGAACAAAATCAAAATTAACGGTTGTAAAAGGCCTATTCATGGACATATACTTGGCAATAGGTGAGGCACAAAATTCTAAAGCAATTACAGAGTGGACATTTGGGAATCATAAAATGCAGAGCAAGAGCTCAACAGCCTCTATGATGGCCAGGCAATTTGAAGGAAATTGAAATCTTAATCTTGCCATGTCACACATGTGCCATCCACAGTTAGGTGACAATGAGGTCAGTAATGACTTCACAACTTTCAGAAAGGCCATGGGTGATTCTAGTAATGGTTTCATTTAATTTCAAAGGGAAGATATACTTAGTCCTGGTCAACTATTATTCAAGATAGATTTCAGTTTCAAGACTTTATTGAACTACAGCAGAGTCAGTGACTAAGTACTGAAATGAGGTGTTGCAACATAGTTTTTTCAGATAAAATGGTTCCAGATAACAGACCTTAATTTGTGAACGAGGAACTCAGGAAGTTCATTGCAGAAGCAGGTATGACCCAGGTAACAAGCTCATCCTTCATCCTCAGTCAAATGGAGAAGCTGAGAGGGTGGTCAAAACTGTAAAGTTGTTAATATCCAAGAACGCAGGTTGGGAATTAACATTGCTAAGCTACAGGTCAACACCATTACACAATGGCAGAACTACTCATGGGAAAAAGATTAAAAACGTCATTATTAAAGTGAAAGCTCAGGCTAAACATAACATCTGAGGACTATGAGAAGATCAAGGAGAAAGAAAGAAAAATACCTTAGCAAAAGATGTGGTAAACCCGAAAACACAGAGCAAAGGTACTGCTAAGTTTGAGACCAGATCAGAAAGTCTGGCTAAAAAATGGACAAGCAGAAGCAACAGTCGATAGAGAAACAGATCAACCAAGCTTATATATAGTCAGAACACTTGAATGAACATGTAGGGGAAAAAGAAAGAATTGGTCTGCCTTGAGCCAAGCAGCGAGACCAAATATGACTACCATCAAATGTGGGACAGAGATGCCCATATCACAGTGAATACTGTACAGGATGATACAACAGAATGTTAGAGAACTACCAATCTCATGTAGAAATCAAAACAAAGCAAATTGAAGCTACTAGTCAGACTTCCAAATTGTTTCAACCTCTGATGGTTTGGACTTTGAGAGATGTATGGGAGAGATGGTAATAATAATGTCAATGGTAATAATGGCAATGTAAATAATTGAAAAAAAGCAAGTTGCTGGTGTATATATCAAGTAAAAGAAACTTAGGGGTGTTGTAGTATAATATAACATCAGCAGAAGCAGTACAGCAGAGAGAAACATGTAATAGAAAATGACTTAGGGAGCTGTATTCTGTAATCTGTAAAAATATAAATGTAAGTAAAGAGATCACAGTATTGAAAAGGGTGAGAGAGTCTTATTCGAGGATGAGGATGAACTAGGACTGCTAGATACCAGGAGAGTTGTAACCTAGTAGGAAGGGAGCGAGCTGAAAGAGAATATGTATAGACACCCAATATCCAGAGACACATAGATATATGACTCAAGCAACAGCATATTAACCATGGTAAAAATGTGTTAAAGAAATACTCTGACCAAAGTCTTGGTATGATATCTTCCTATTTGATTTGATGTCAAATGTTGCTTTATTCGCTCCTATGAAGCGTGTTGGGGCATCTTATTACATTAAAGGCAGTATATAAATGCAAGTTGTCAATAATGTTTGCTACCAATGAGCAGTATGTGTAATGCTGACTGCAGTCAGCAAGCAGCATGAATTTAATCTGCATTGCAATGAACAGACATAGGCTAATTTTGTACCATAATCCAATCCCGTGTCTGTTGTTCAGCATTGGCCAATACATTTTTCGTTCCTACATAATAAGCTGTCTCATAGTGCTCGAAATGATTGAGCTTTCTTTTTCCTTTTGCCAACCGGTTGAATTATCTGAAGTTTCAGTGCAGCTGATCTTAGGAGAATATTAGATTTAGCCCTGTTCCCTTACACATTAGGTCATTCAGACTATTGCTGTTGTTGCTCTCCCTTCATTTCTAATTGTTGTCTATATACACTAGTGTGCAGTTCTCAGTATGCATTCAGTCTACTATTTTCTGGAGCTTTTATTTTCTTATCAGGTGAGAGTTCACTGAATAAGTATTTCATTAAAAGTTGCAGATTAATTTTGAATCACTGTTTTGGAGAACAATGTCTACTTCAGTTAAATATTTTTATTTCTGATAAAGTACTGGCTGTATTTATGTTTTTTTCTGTATGATGTCCATATCTCCTGTATTATTTCTGACATTTTACCTTACATGGTGGAGTAAATTACTGAAGTTCTGTCAACACTCACTGGTGAAGCTCTTTCTGAGCATAAACCGAACAGTGAGTGCTGTTGCAGCAACGGTATGTTGCAGTTGAATTAAAACTTGTTTGTGTCACTCAGCAAGGCTTGCCAAACTTCTTAAGGTAGGAGCTGTTGTGTAAGGATCTCAAAAGGTTAATGCTGAGGAGTGCCTTAAGCACCACCCACTGTGATGATGTAATATGGTCTTGGTAGGAGGACAGCTTAGGATCTCAAAGAAGTGAAACCCACGATCTGGGTCTTCTTCATAGTCTCTATAACAATATCCATCACATTAATGTAACTTATATGTCGTTGCTGTCATACAATAAACTACATCTTGTTTAAGCCAATAGTCTTTTCTCATTAGACTACCAAGTGATTTTCCTCTATTACACTAGACCAAGTAGGACCTGTAGATTCCTCCACTGAAAGAGTATTGTGGCAATAAATATACCTCATGGCAAGCAATATGATGAGCAGTGGTGTGGATTGGTCATACAACAGGAGCAATTATTTGTCCTGCCCTAACCGAAGCCTAATGTAGCACCACTTCTGCTGCCGTAGATAACTGCAGCTCACTCAGGCTGGATGAACTTCCAACATCTGGGAACTTTACATCTTAACATCTGTACGTGCCGTCACTTTTCAGAATTATAATTGGACCTCCTGGTGTATAATCCACCCGATTTTCATTTCCACTGTTTCTCTGGAACATTTGGTTTCTCTACGGTCAATCCTTGATGTCAATGGTTGTGCCCGGATGTAAAGTGAATGTCTTCTATCAAGACAGGCACTTAATAGTGGGTTGGATTTTCCAGAGGATTGGCAAGATTGCCACTACATTCCTTTCTTACTAATGTTAAGAAAGAACTGCATATTTTTGTGAGGAGCTTCCTTCAGAAATGCAGAGCCATACTTTAAATCCCACTTAGTGCTGTATAGTCAGGGGGAAAGCAAACAATGTACCCTTTTTCACAACGGCATTTGTCATATTCTCAAATTGAAAGGTCCTGTGTCACAGACAGCCATTTTGACAGCTCCTCAGAAAAGGTAAGTACCTAAGGTAAGCAGAAAGTCAGTTTTCCAGGAGGCTAGAGTGCACAAGTGCCAAGTGGGTAACGTGTCAGGGTCTGGGTAAGTGTGGGAAAGGGTATCGAGTGCCCAAGGGAGAGGGTGGGTTAGGATCCTTGGGGAAGAAGGGTATTGTCAAGTCCCTGGAGATGGGAGTGGGGATCGGATCCCGGGGAGGGATGGAATTGTGTGGGCAGGCTTCAGCAATGGGAGGGGGAGAGACAGTTTCAGGTGCCATAGGGGGCATTGGGAGGGAATTTCATGACCCGAGGGTGGAAGTTAGTCCTGGCTGTAGGATTGGGGTTTAGGGTGTGGGAAGGTAGTGTTAAATCACAGGCAAAGGGGTGTTTCAGGTCTGGGTTGAAGAGGGAACTGTCATGTAAGGATTTAGAGGTGTAAGGAGTCTGAAAGAGGTGTAGTTGTAGATGAATGTTGTAAGTTGGGTTCGGTTTAATAGTTACTCAGAAGGCTGTATCAGGTTTTTAATTATCAAGTTTTTCCTGAGTTGCTACTTACTGCAACGAGTTCTGCAATTTAAATGAATACTTTCAAAGGGTTCCAGGAGTAAAGGAATTACCTGATGGAGACTTAAATTTGCTAGGCAGTTCCTTAGGAGTCCATTATGATATGGATTCTATGACATGGACATACGCAACTCCCATGTATACTCCGGAAATGATTAAGTGGCCATATTTTCAGGACAAACAACTTTTCCGACTGCACTGAGATCACGGAGGGGTCACACAATTTCTAGAATGCCAATCAAAGTGTCATTCTTTCATTCTTCCAGGAAATTGGACAGCAAGTGTATAGATAAGAAACAATTGGTTTGAGTATATAGGTAGATTTTAAAGTCTCACACCCAATCGAAACAGGAAAGTAGTATGTGACAGTATTAGGAAATGACTTTTTGATCCATTATCACAGGGATTGTTGCCTATGTGTGTAACACTGAGCTGCTGACATGCCTGCCTGAGTCAGGCATTTGACTCATTTAAAACGTTAATCAGCAACCTATGATGGATGAAACTCAATTGTAATTTTAGGCCAGCAGTGGACAGAGTAAGCACTAATTGCCTGTGCTACAAAAGAAGAAATTTTTTTTGTGACTGGCAGAACAGAATTGAATGAAGCATAGTATCCAATGCCGAGGCTAATTTCTCAGGAAGAGAATAATAGTAGAGACTTTTATTGAAGTACTGCCACTAACATTTAGAAACCTTCTATCCGTCTCTTGTGTAACATGCATGTTTTTGTAAGAGCACTTAGTCTGAACTTGAACTGTTACTTTCAGGGGAGACGGAACACTTTAAGGACTCAGAAGATTCAATGAAAAATAGCAAAGGTTTACTGGAGCAAAAGGCTGCTTTTATACACAACTAGTTCAGAAAAACTTCCGAGGATACAGCCCTACATGGATACTGAGGTGATGATGACATTTATTTTCATGTAAACTTGGTTAGACTTATTTGGGTTGCAACTGAACAACTGAAGCCTGAATGGAAAAAGTGTAATATGACTCTTGCAATCATGTGTGAAGAATTAATTCACACAGGTGTCCCTTTGCTATCCTCTTGCTTCAGAACTCTGATGTATGTAACTCCAAGCAGTGATTGTTTTTCTCCAATAGTTCGAGTATCTACTCTTGATTCGATTGTAAGCTGAGTCCCAAGTCTGTTTGCATGCAGACTTGTTAGGTTTGGTGCGGTGAATTTTGTGATTCCTCCATATTTGTAAAGTTGAGTTGTTCTGTAAACTATTACACCAGTTTAGCTCTTTGAGCTGTGTAAAATATTTGCAGAACAGAGCACAACAAATGTTGATTGTCAAGAAACCTGTTGCAAAACATCCTCAACTTGGTTCAAACCTTCAGTGATTGATTTAAGAATGACAACATGTAGGGAGGAAGAAAATCTCCACATAAGTGAAAAGATTCAGGCAGGTTTATGAATTGCTGGTCTTTCTATGCAGAGGACCAGAATACAAGGCAGAAGGAAGTCATGGTTCAGCTGTACAAAATCCTGGTCAGACCACCTCATGCAAAGAAAATACCGACCTGACAGGAAATGCAGCATAACTTTAGCAGAATGTTACCTGGAATCCAGGGATTTAATTATGAGGAAAAGCTATATAAACTGGGGTTTTATTCCTTCGATTATGGAAGGCTAAGAGGTTATTTTAAGATATTGAGGTAAACACCAATAAAAAAGTGAAATTTTGCAGACATTTGAAATCTGAAGTAAAGTTAGAAAATGATGAAAATATTCAAAAGGCAAGTAAGCATCTGTGATGAGAAACAGATCATATTTTGGACTGAAATTTTGTTGAAAAATTACATAGAGCCATACAGCACAGATACAGACCCTTCGGTCCAACTTGTCCATGCCGATTAAGTTTCCCAACTAAATTAATCCTACTTTCCTGCATTTGGCCCATATACCTCTAAACCTTTCCTATTCATGTACCAATCCAAAAGTCTTTTAAATGTTGTAACTGTACCTGCATCTCTACTTCCTCTGGCAGTTCATTCCACACATGAACTATCCTCTGTGTGACAAATTTGAATCTTATTAGTGAGATTACAAATACTACAATTGAAATCTAGTATAGAGGAATGGGAGGGTTGGGGATGGGGTTAGCGGGTGAGTCGTTATATAAAAAGGGAAGGTTAAACAGTCCGGTCCTGTAATCATTAGAAATTAGAAGAATAAGATGTCATGTTAGTGAGTCATGTTAGATTCTGAGAGGAAAGGATGTTTCACCTAAGTTTCACCCAAGATGTTTCACCTCAGTTCTGAGGAAGGGTCACCGGACCCAAAACATTAACTTTGATTTTTTGTTTCACAGATGCTGCCAGACCTGCTGAGCTTTTCCAGCAACTTCTGTTTGTTTTCCCACCTAAAGACTAGAAATAGGAAACATAGTTTGACAAAAAGGGGTCTTCCACTTAAGATGGACATGCGGAGAATTCTTTTCTCTCAGAAGGTCGTGAGTCTTTGGAACTATCTCCCACGAGTAGGGGAGGCAGACTCATTGAATATTTTTAAGGCAGAGGTAGATAGATCACTGACTCACAAGAGTGTTAGAGGTTATCGGGGATAAGTGGGAATGTGGAGCTGAAGCTACAGTCAGATCAAACAGACAGAGTAGACTGGAGGAGCTGAGTGGTTTATTCCTGCTCCTATTTCATATGTGCATAAGTACATAAATACTTAGGTTTTGCTCCTGAAAATGTCTGGTTGAGGAGTGGCAGGTGGGGTTCAATTTGTATTTTGATAAAACAAACAAGGGCAGGACTTATACAGTTAATTGTAGGGCCCTGGGTCACGTTGTTGAACACAGAGACCTAGATGTTCAGGCACATTATTCTTTAAAAGTTTCATCACAGTTAGATAGGGGGGTTAAGAAGGCATTTAGCATGCTTACCTTCATTGCTCAGATCTTTGGGTATAGGAGTTGAGACATCATGTTGAGGTTGTAGAGGTTGTAAAGGATATTGGTGGGGTCACTTCTGAAGTACTGTGTACAGTTCTGGTCACTCTACTGTAGAAAGGATATTATGAAATTGGAGAGGGGTCAGAAAAGATTTACCAGGATGCTGCCAGAACTGGAGGGTTTGAGTTATAAGGATAGGCTGGGACTTTTTTCACTGGAGCGTAGGATGTTGACTGGTGACCATATAAAGGTTTATAAAATACTGAGGGGCATACATAAGGTGAATAGCAGAGGTCTTTTCCCTAGGGTGGGGAGTTCAAAACTAGGGTATATTTTTTAAGGTGAGAGGAGAAAGATTTACAAGGATTTAAAAGGGATTTGCAAGGATGTTGCCAGGGTTGAATGTTTGAGTTATAGGGAGAGGCTGAATAGGCTGGAACTATTTTCCCTGGAGTGTCTGAGACTGAAGTTTACAAAATCATGAGGGGCATGAATAGGGTGAATAGCCAAGGTCTTTTTCCCAGGGTAGGTGAGGAGGGGGCAGTGGGTGAGTTAGCGGTTAGTGGGTGAGGTAGCGGGCAGTGGGTGAGGTAGGGGGCAGTGGGTGAGATAGGGGGCAGTGGGTGAGGTAGGGGGCAGTTGGTGAGGTAGGGGGCAGTGGGTGAGTTGGGGGCAGTGGGTGAGGTAGGGGGGCAGTGGGTGAAAGCAGGCAGTTTAGTTTTTTTTTGTTAATGCCTCTTCTCTTTACCACTTGCTGTATTGATTTAAATTATAGGATTCCAACTAACTTTACCCCTTCAGAATAAATGAACAATGAATCACACGCTTCTTGTTTCACTGCTCATAGTGTCCCTTAATTAATTATAAGATAGATGCTTCCAGATCGTTTTAAAAATGTTCCATTTTTCTACATTCCAGCACTTGTCTCACCTGTCTCACCCACTGCCCCCTATCTCACCCACTGCCCCCTCCTCACCCACTGCCCCCTACCTGGTGGGTGAAAGCGGGCAGTGGGTGAGACAGGGGCAGTGGGTAAGTGAGGGGGCAGTGGGTAAAGTATGGGGCAGTGGGTAAAGTAGGGACCAGTGGATGAGATGGGGCAGTATCTCCTTCAAGAGTTGACACTTGAAAGTTTGAAATAAAATCAAATGGTGACATCACGGTTTGCCATAAATTAATTGTTTTGTGACTAATTCCTGTTAGCGAGAGTGTGTAAAGTGCTGGAATGTAGAAAAATGGAACATTTTTAAAACGATCTGGAAGTATCTATCTTACAATTAATTAAGGGACACTATGAGCAGTGAAACAAGAAGCGTGTGATTCATTGTTCATTTATTCTGAAGGGGTAAAGTTAGTTGGAATCCTATAATCCTATAATCCACTGCCCCCTACCTCACCCATTGCCCGCTACCTCACCCACTAACCGCTAACTCACCCACTGCCCCCTCCTCACCTACTGCCCCACCTCACCCACTGTCTGGTACCTCAAGCACAGAAAACACCTCAGCCTATGCTCCCACCTCACCCACTGTCCCGTCCTCAACCAGTGCCCCACCTCACCCACCACAACTGTGTCTCTCCATCAAGCCCTGCTCTCTCCACTAGGTGCACCTTTTTCTCTGCCCCTCTCTCCACTGGGTCCCCCACTCTTTCTGCTGGATATATCTATTACTGCCCTGTTTCCCACTTGGAAGTTGTTCCCTTTCCCTTTGTTGTTTGAACTTGCTGGGTTTGCTTTGCTCCATGTTGGTAGAGTTCTGAAATGCTCTTATGCAATTGGAAATTGATGCCTCAAAATTAGCAGCGTAATTTTAAAAACTGAGATTGATGGATTATTTTTTGTTAAACAAAGGTACAATGGAGCAAGGGCTGGTGTACAGAGTTTTGTCACATTGAATGGTGAAACAGGCTTGAGGAACTAAATGAAGGGTCCAGACCCGAAATGTCAGCTTCCCTGCTCCTCTGATGCTGCCTGGCCTGCTGTGTTCATCCACCTCTACACCTTGTTATCTATACATGAGGAACTAAATGTTTGATTCCTGTTCCTGTGTGTATCATAGCTGACAGACCTCATGCTTTAAGTGGAGTCATGCCCTTTTGTACATCAATTGTTCAATGTTTATCATGGTACTAGAATATATAATACTTTGAAAACACTGCACGTGCAAACTTTAAGTACTCTCATGTGTTTGTATTGAGTACATTTGAATAATGCATGACATCAATCAATATATTGTCAAAACCAGCTAATGTCAGCTAAGTACAATGAACATTTATTAAGAAGCAATGTAGATGTTCCTCACAATAGGGTAAATAAAGAATATAATTGACCCCCTTTTATTTTAGGGGGCAGTTAACTCAGTTGGCTGGTTTGCGATGCAGCTTGATGCCGAAAGCATGGGTTCAATTCCCAGACTGGCTGAGGTTACTATGAGGGTCTCATCTTCTCTGCCTCTCCCCTCGCCTGAAGCATGGTGACCTTCAGGTTTAACTGACCACTAATCATCTCTCTGTAGAGAGAACACAGCCATATGCTCCTCTAGGGCTGTGGTGAACTTGCTTATATTATTATAGTATAACAGCTTTTATTGAAACTGAAAAATATTTTTAGTGAGATGCAAAAGTATCATGATAAAAAGATTGTCAACCATTCATTGAGAGCTGATTAAAGAACAGGAAATATTGCTCTCAGTAATGTTTAAAAATGTGAAGGTATAAAAATGTGTCTTTTTGCCTCCTTTAGTGTGATGGATCATGACATGATGCTGGAATGATTCGAAATTGATTACTGCACCATCACCAAGCATCCCTCCAACCCTGCTGGTCTGAGACTTCAAGCAACATGAACACAATTGCATGACTCTGCCCTTCTTTAAAATAAAGATCAGGAGAAATGACTTGTTTCATCTTTCTCTGGGCTATGTACTCTAACAACTTCCTCTTCAATAATGTTGCCACTTGACTACAATTGTTCATTTTACAAGACCGACCATCTGGCTGCAGGTTATTTGAGCCCGGACTGTAACCCTGATAGAAGTGCTTTTGGTAATGGTACTTCCACAACCTAAAAGATTCAGCTCAACACAGCTTAACATTTGAATAATGTGACTAATTTCCCTATCATTATATCTTCTTGACTACAACAGTAAACAACATACAAACAGCACTGTGATAGCAGACAAGCATGTTTACAGTCTCAGGAAACACAGTGAATGTTTAGACTTTAGTTCAATGTCAGTTTTATTCTCAGATGAAACACTCAGCTCTGGAAAGAAATATTTAGTGTAAGCCCTAACATTGGAGCTGTGTTGGTATAAAAACTCATTTGTCTGGTTACTTATTAATATCAGCACCATATAAAACAACTGCAATGTTACACCGAGACTACCCTTGTATTTATCTCTCTGCTCCTAGGCAGTTGGGCACCAATATCACATAGACAGGCAAATTCTGAGATCAAAGGTGGAGCAAAGATCATCACTACAAAGTTAGGTTAGCAGTATTATAAGCCATGATGGATGTAGGGTAATCTCACCTCATATTTAGAAATACAGTACACTTTTGATGTAAGAGTAAAAAAGGGCCTTTATGGTAAATTATTCATAAAACATCAAAGGAAATTTAGGTGTTTATGCAGTAATCTATTACTGCTGTATTTTCTGAAATGAGAATGCATGCAAGGAATAAGTCCACTGGGGCAATGCTCACAGAAATTACACTGGCTACTGATGCCCTTGAAATGGGGCAACAAAGTTAGAGTGGTCGTCTGTGCACAATCCCGAGATTAGGGCAAAGAGATCTCCTGGTCCCTGATTCTGTACATATCAGGGTGAAATGGAAACAATGCTGCCACATTGTTAGCACAGATCAAAAAGGAAATGACTTTCAGGATTTTCCAATTATTAATCTTAATTTAGACACTGTTCCACTGTTGCATCTTTCAAATTGTGAGCCAGCTATTAAGCAGGATTTTACAGACCCCACTCGCAAATTGGAAGGCGAAGAGATGTATAAAATAAAGTGGCCATCACACCACCCTCCCGTCCATGTTGACCTGACCCCCTCATCGTACTGCTGGAAGGTAAGACAACAGGCAGCCCATTCGTAGACTGCAGAAATGCTAAAGTGGACATTTAACTGCAAATTAAGGGCCTCATTTCACCTCCACGGCACTTTTTCAGCCTGCGCTGGTGATTTTTAGTTAGGCAAGAATGAAGGAGAGGGAGATCCTCTGTGCGTTCCCTTGTGCCTATCAGGGGTAACCCTTCAGGATGGGTGCTACCCCTCCCCTCACGCTTCAATTTGTGCCTCCTCTCTGGCCTCTCTGAAAAAATGTCTGGTCTGCTTTTCCCTACCCTCGTTGGATCTGAAAACTGTGTCATCCAGCTTCCACTTTTTCCTTCTAGTAGGGTCTGGCAGTAGCTAATGCCACCTTCTGATGTCGTTGTGAATACAGAGCTGTCAGCCAACCAAATTGGCCACTCTTCTCTCAGACAGAATGTCCTCTCTGATGTGGGGAGAATGACACTCTCCCAGCATCACATCAGGGTGGGGCAGCCAGATTTCAGTTGGCAACGTGCTAGGGAGCGTTTGTTGATCATCTATCCTCTGTAAAATCCACCCCATTGCATCTATTGAAGCATAGTCCATGTAAACTGACTGCGTGTTTTTCTGATTTAAACTAAATGCTGCACTGAATGAGATTAGACCTTATATGATAATATTCATTCATAGAGTATTGGTATTGAAATCTCATTAATCACTCCTCTATTATTTCTACTTGAGAGCAAGGTTAGTTTATATAGATATATATATATACATACATATATAGAGGCGCATTGGGAATGAATTTTCGTGAGTGTTCACCAACTCATCCGTTGTACTTCCTGTGGATAAACCCTGAGAAAATAATGTTTAGAGTTTTTATGTTCTTTTCTGCTTTTTCCATAATTCTTTTACAAAAGATGTGGTGGACAAACAGGAATGTCCCTCATGCTAACTGACCACTAATATTTCAAATTTGGTACCCCTAGAACGTTGTCTTCATGCATCCATGAATGTTTTCATTTTTAATGCTGATTATTATAACTTTTTAAATATTGTGAAGGTCATACAAGTAAAATATAAAGTTATATCTACAGAATTTTCTTGATAAACTAATAAATACAAAGTACAGCTATTCATTGGATTTTCAAATAAGTTTCTTTTGAAATGCTCGAATTCAATATCCTCTAAAAAGCTGTTCAGAAATACTGACCCGGATTTTGTGGTCAGTGGCATTTTGTTCACCATTGAACTCAAAGAAAATTGCCCACAAGATGGTGTGATCTCTGTGGTTTAGATTACACCTTAAGCAATGTTAATCTGATCTAGACTCAACTATACAGGATCTTTAGCATTGAGCACCAAATCATGTCATTGAGCAGATTAGACAGTCAATCGTGTCTTTTTAACTTTATTTGTTGCTGGCTAGGCCAAAAATGTGTTGCACTTGCTTGATTGTCCTTGCGATGTTAACATTGAGTTCCTGCTGTTCCTATGGTATACCCTCGCAGTATGTTAGGGAGGGGATCCCTAGTGACATTGAAGGAGTAGCAATGTGGTTTCAAATCAGAATGATGTGTAGCTTGAAGAAGAAGTTGCAGGTCATGATGTTCCAATGTAAGTGCTGGCCTGTCTTTCAAGCTGATTAGGAGGGTGCTGTTGAACAAGCCTTGGAGCGTTGATGCAATGCACTTTGTGGATAGTGTGCACTCCTGCCTCTCTTTGATACAGAATGAATGACTAAGTAGCGGTAGTGGAGTACTGATCAAGTTAACTGCCCTATCCTGGGTGGGGCCTAGCGTCTTGATTATTGTTGTCATATTCCTGACTGGGTTCATGTAGAGTCAGCAATAGGTTACTTGCTCCCAGTCATATTTGCATTCTTGTGGTCACAGTGTTTATATGTCTGGTCCAGTTCAGTTTTGGGTTATTGTTTGCTCCCAAGATACAAGGTGGAAGCTTTAGGGATGTCCAACTTCCCCTATCATTGAATCAATGTTGATCCCTTGATTTGATGGTAATGGTAAAGGAGAGACATTGCCAGGATCATGAAGCCACAGATAGCGACTGAATGACTGTTGATAACACCTCATGGATGTTCAGTTTTGAAATACAAGAATGTTCTGAGATTATCCCATTTAGTACATTGATAGTGCTACACAATGCACTAGAGGGTGTTATTGGTATGAAGATAGGATTTGATCTTCTCAAGGAACATGTAATAGCTGCTCCTACCATTACTGTTCTGAACAAATTTATCTGCAGCAGAGAGTGTGGTGAGAATGAGGTCAAACATGGCGGTTATTTCACCTTCTGCTATAGGCCCAGTCAGGCAGAGAAGTCCTTCAGAAATCAGCAGTTCAGTAAGTGGTAGTGCTACCAAGACACTCTTGTTGATGGGTTTTGAAATTCTCCAGTGAAAGTACTTTCTGTGCCCTTGTTACCCTCAGTCCTTCTTCCAAGTAGTGATCAACACAGAAGAATATTGATTCATCAGCTGAGAGAAGATGGGAACCGATAAACAGCAGGAACTTTCTTCAGTCATGTGTCACTTGATGCCTAGAGACTTCATGGGGTTCAGAGATAATTTTGACGGCCCCAAGGATCACTCCTTCTCAAATGTATAACATTGTGCTACTGTTTCTGGTGCGCCTGTCCAGTTAGAGGGGCATGGCACACTCTACATGGTGATGGAGTAGCCTCAAACATTCCATACAAGTTATGATTTGGTGAAGATTATTGTCAGGTTGTCGTTTGATCCCATGATAGTGAGGTGAGGTGAGGGGGTCAGTTAACCCATTTTGTGACACAGCGTGATACCAACAGTGTGGTTTCAATTCCCACACTAGCTGAGGTCATCATGAAAGACTTTCCTTTGCAACTTCTCCCCTCACCTGAGGTGTGGTGACCCTTAGCTTAAGCCACCACCAGTCATCCATCTCTCTCTCTTGCTCTGACAGCCTTTGGTCCAGTTGGATTATGCTAATTTTATTATTGGTGAGGAAATTTTGTTAGTGCCACTGGGAGGTCGTGTCCTTTCTCACTTCCAGCGTCTAACTCAACGCAGGATGTCCTGTTCGACATTTGGTTTGATAAGCCAGATGACTAGTTATACCATTTCAGAAGGTGGTTAAAAGTTAACTGTAATTCTGTGAGTCTGCAATCACTTTGGACAGACTGGGTCAGGAGGGCAAAGTTTCGTCCCTGAAACTGTCAGGGAATTAAATGAGTTTTGACAATGATCTGTTTGTTTTGTGATGACCATTACTTAGGTGAACTTTCTAATACCAAATTTATTAATTAAAATCCTTTAGCTGCAATTTGGATTTGAACTCATTTCTCTGTAATATTAGGCTGAGGGTCTGACTTTTTAGTTTCACAACATTATTTCTGGGCTAGTTTCATCCAGAATTTCCCAATTCTCACAGAGCAAACCAAGAAGTAAAAAATACTGATTATCCTTCATTTTGGATACTTTTATCAAGAACAAAATAAAGATTAGAATGTACAGACATGCTTAAGTTAGAGACTGAAGTAGCCTAAGAATCTGTACCTAGGTGTCTTTGTACCTAAGATGGCGCTGTAAGTGGCGATTTGTAAACTTTTCACTGTACTCATGTGAGTACAAGTGACAATAAATCCAATCCAATTCAATTCAATTAATATATTAGAAGTGCATGGATATTTGCATCAGAAAAATATTTTGATGTACCACAAGTATGAAATTAGGTTTTCAGGACCTGACAAATTGTTTAATTGTAATTGCGACTTACTACACTATTTAAAGCACAGTTACAGATAATTCAACAAGGCTTATTATAAACTTACAGAAGCAAATTACACTGAGTTGCCCCAATCTCCCATTCTGACTTCAAGGGAAGATTGGTGTGGCCCCAACTGTGCCATTCCTCCTCGGTTTCTGTAAATCTGAGAGGGATAGAACTTCTGTGCACTTTCTAAACATACTTTAATGTACATAGAAACGTAGAAAATAGGAGCAGGAGGAGGCCATTTGGAACTTGGAGCCTGCTTCGCCATTCTTTATGACCATGGCTGATCGTCCAACTCAATCAAGCCTAATCCTGCTTTCTCCCTATAACCTTTGATCCCATTCACTCTAAGTGCTTTATCTAGTTGCTTCTTGAATACGTTCAATGTTTTGGCATTAACTACTTCCAGTGGTAATGAATTCCACAGGCTCACCACTCTCTTAGCGAAGAAATTGTATTAAAGTAGTTAAAATTTGTTTTGCATATGTTTTTCAACCAGATACAAATGCATAAAATGCGAATCTACAGAGGAAATAATTATTTTATTTTCCAGCAGACTTTCACATTTTAGTAATTAGAAGAAAATAACAAAATGAGATTAAAAATAGAACATTACAATTTAAAATAAGATTTTTGTATGGATGTAAGTAACTCAATTTGTATTTCTTATTAAGTAACACAAAAGCCATGAAAGATACAAACAGAGCTTTGAAAACAAAATCTCTTGATACACTGAAGAAAATACTAGTTTGGCCACAATTATTGCCAGTATTGAAAGAGTTAATTGCTGAAATAGGCTTAAGTTCTGCCACACCGTTTAGTCTTACATTTTGTTTCATATAATCAGAGTAGTTAATCTCATTTTTGGTGTTTATTTATTCTTACATTTGTTGCATTTATTTAAATGCCATTGTTTGCTGCTTTATCTAGTATATGATAGTAGAGGTATTTGATCTTCATTAGGCATGCAGCAATTCAACTATAAAAATTCTAGCTGCTGCTCACTAAATAAGAGAGAAAAATGTTTTAATGAAGTAAGATCAATTTGAAGACAATGGGACCGTTGGAAATATTGCATAAAAGTGGATGCAAGAAAGACATTTAGCAATTTCCACGTAACAAGGTTGTACTTTTATTCTCGATCAAATGTCAGAAAAATATGATTTTTTTCATGATTTTCAGCTGAACTTGCGGTGTTCAATTAAAAGACCCTCCTGTGGATATAAATCCCTAACTGTTGAAGACCACACATGATTAATAGCCAATAATGGTAAGATTCCAGCAGTTAAGTTAAGAAAGACGATACGAATCAGCATCATGGAGTCAACTCTTTGAGGGAAATAATCCCTCCTGGAGAGGTAACGAGGGGAGAAATTGTGAGAAAGAAAGGAATTAGAACAGAAATTTTGGAGGAATAGAGGTTGCAACCTATTTGCAGGATTGAATTCTGACTAAATTATGAATTGGAATTGCTTTTCTAGGTAGACTATGTGGTGGATGTTTTCCTGCGTATATGCATTAATTTAGTATTCTCTATAGTTGTGCTTTGTCTCCTGGCTGCAGTCACTGTACAGAATATAAATAATTGCACCTGGGTAAATAAATAGAAAATGTGGACTTTTTGTACTATTCATTGTACTATTCATGAAATGCAAAGGCAAGATTTTTTTTCTCTTGGAAATGGTTGACAAAGCTGTTTGGAAAAAAATGAAGTAAAATGACAAACTTCTTAGCATTGTTCTTGGTTTGTACATTGAGAAATAATTTAAACTTTCACTATTAATAAAGAATGCATGAAAGTTAAATAAATATTTAATTCAACTTCTGGCCACTTGAAAATCTAAAACTGCAAAAGAAACGTATTTTATTTCATAAAATCTATTTTTTAGCTCCACTTGCATATAAAATTGGGTTTCTTGTTTATTGATATATATTTGTTTCATTAAACACCATATGGGGAGGAGACAATCTAGAGGCATTATCGCTGTACTGTTAATCCAGAGACTCAGATAACATTCCAGGGATAGTAGGAACTGCAGATGCTGGAGACTCTGAGATAACAAGGTGTAGAGCTGGATGAACACAGCAGGCCAAACAGCATCAGAGGAGCAGGAAGGCTGACGTTTCGGGCCTAGACCCTTCTTCAGAAATGGGGGAGGGGAAGGGGGTTCTGAAATAAATAGGGAGAGAGGGGGAGGCGGATAGAAGATGGATAGAGGAGAAGATAGGTGGAGAGGAGACCGACAGGTCAAAGAGGCAGGGATGGAGCCAGTAAAGGTGAGTGTAGGTGGGGAGGTAGGGATGGGATAGATCAGGCCAGGGAGGACGGACAGGTCAAGGGAGCGGGATGAGGTTAGTAGGTAGGAGATGGGGGTGGGGCTTGAGGTGGGAGGAAGGACAGGTTGGGGAGGCAGGGACGAGCTGGGCTGGTTTTGGGATGCGGTAGGGGGAGGGGAGATTTTGAAGCTTGTGAAATCCACATTGATACCATTGGGCTGCAGGGTTCCCAAGCAGAAAATGAGTTGCTGTTCCTGCAACCTTCGGGTAGCATCGTTGTGGCACTGCGGGAGGCCCAGGATGGACATGTCATCTGAGGAATGGGAGGGGGAGTTGAAATGGTTCGCGACTGGGAGGTGCAGTTGTTTAGTGCGAACGGAGCGTAGGTGTTCTGCAAAGCGGTCTCCAAGCCTCTGCTTGGTTTCCCCGATGTAGAGGAGGCCACAACAGCAGATACAGTATACCACATTAGCAGATGTGCAGGTGAACATCTGCTTGATGTGGAAAGTCTTCTTGGGGCCTGGGATGGGGGTGAGGGGGGAGGTGTAGGGGCAGATGTAGCACTTCCTGCGGTTGCAGGGAAAAGTGCTGGGTGTAGTGGGGTTGGAGGGGACTGTGGAGCGGACAAGGGAGTCACGGAGAGAGTGGTCCCTCCGGAAAGCAGATAAGAATGGGGAGGGAAAAATGTCTTTGGTGGTGGGGTCGGATTGCAGATGGCGAAAGTGTCGATGGATGATGCGTTGGATCCGGAGGTTGGTGGGGTGGTACGTGAGGACGAGGGGATTCTGTTTTGGTTGTTATTGCGGGGAGGGACCTGGCTTTGAATCCTGCCACAGCAGGTTGTGGAATTTGAATTAAATAAATATCTGGAATTAAGAGTCGAATGATGACTGTGAATCCATTGCCGATTGTTGGGGAAATACCCATCTGCTTCACTAATCCCCTTTAGGGAAGGGAACTGCTATTATTAATTTAAAAAAAGAACTGCAGATGCTGTAAATCAGGAACAAAAACAGAAGTTGCTGGAAAAGCTCAGCAGGCCTGGCAGCATCTGTGAAGAAAAAGTCAGAGTTAATGTTTCGGGTCCAGTGACCCATCCTCAGAGTTCTGAGGAATCACTCAATAGGCATCATCACCTCATTCAAGCCATCAAGGAAAGCCCAAAGTGAAAGGCAAGAAAATATGTCAACAGAGGTTGGCTCTGTGTGCCATTCATTTGGAGCAAGCTGTTTATGTACTGTCATAATACACAGTTCAGGGAAATAAAGAGATGGTGAGCTAAATTAAACACATATAATAAAATATATAACATCGTAGAGTTCAATAGTATAGTTAATGTTTATTTTATATAAATTTCCATCTAATACTAGTATGAGAAATAAAAGTTTGAGATCATTTGTCCATTATTAGTTTGTTCAATAATAATTTATAAAAAATAAAGGAACCTCTGAGCCAATGTGTTTCTCAGATTGCAGCATAAATGTCAAGAATTGTAAATGAACTTAGCGTGATGAATTATTCAAGGAGTTTTACAATGCTGAATTAAATTTGCTTCAACTACTTTGTTAATGTTGCACACATTGGCATTTTCAAAAAACTATGTAACAATTTGTAACTTTTATGTTTTTGGCAACTAGAACACAGTATAATACAATATCCCTCATAATGCCACAAAATGTAATTTCGCATATTGGCCCAGAGAATAATGGAAGGCCATTAATGCTTACTGTTATTTGACTAAATTGGACAGCAGTTTCCAGTGATTGGCACAGTTCAACGTACACAGTTGAATGTTGTTGCTCAGGTTGCACTGTTCCTCCAGAAGGTTTACTCCCTTGGGACCGTCAGCATTAAAAAGTACAAAGGGCGTGAAGCTGTGGTTCTCACCCACTGGATGCCCAATTAAATGTGCCAGATAATGTTAGTGTTTGTGCATTCTGTGTAAATAGAATTTTGGCAGCATGTTAAATCTTCCACCCCCTTTCAGAACTACAATGAGATTTCTCTTATCTTTAGTTTCCACCCACCAGCTTCCATATCCAGTTGACTAAATTAGAATGTCGAAGTACATTGTGAGTTCAAGGAACAAAGAAGAAAAGGCTCCAATATTCCCAGGGTCAGAACAATTTGTATTGAACATGTGTTTCATGTAATGCCGTCAACTCGTGGAATGTTAAATATTAATCTTTGTCATCCAACAAACATTGTTAGTTTTCATTCTAAATTATTGCCTTATCACCAACAAGGTTATTACTCAACAACAATCCTCTTTTTCTAGGGTTTCAGGTAGAGTCCAGATACCTACAACAACGAGAGTGGAGAGGATGTGGACTGAGTCTGAGTTATTTTCTAATCAACCTGTTCAGAGATGTGGGACTTGAACCCAGGTCTCCCAGCTCAGAAGTAGGGACACTACCACTGTACCACAAGAACCCTTAAAGCTGAGAGTGATTGTTAGCTCAGGAATTTGGTACAGATGGGATATTACTTGTACCTTTTTCTCAAAATTTAAATTAGAGTCAGACTGTGTCATAAAACTCCAATGTTGTGAGATAGTTAAAATATCTAATTTTAACAGAAACTACCTGGCACTGGCATTTATCTGACAATCAATTGAAAGTAATATTTGAATTCACACTAATTACTGTAACAAGAAGTTGACTTAACATTTCTAACTTGGATGTGAACCAACAGCGCTTTATAAAAGCAGACAGGTCTTATAATCACACAGTAGTGAAGACATGCGAGGAGGCGCTGGGGTCCAATTAAGGGCGAGTTAAGGGTCACATCCTGTGGCCCTTGGTATTTTACCACCAGTGGGAGTAGGTTGGAGAGGACGCTGTGTGGACCAGCAGCTGGATATGCCCTAGTGGGCCTGCCAGTGGTCTGTGGTCAGCTTTGTTCCTGCTGTTTGGGCATCCTGTGCCCAATCCAGAGATCAGCTGGGGGCAAGGGCATCCTCCATAGGAAGACACCTCCATGCATTTTACATTGAGTCCCAGCACATCCCCCCACCCCCTTTCTCATCACCAGCATCTGTCTGACTGTCTCTGAAAATTACCAACTCTCAGCAGTTCAAGTGCTGCTCCTGGCCCTGGGCTTTCTGCAATACCAACAATGGCCACCATTCTCAGTAGCACTATTGGTACTGAAGAGCTGTCAACTATCTGATTGGCTGGCAGTCTTTGAGGCACTATATCAGTCTTGCAGGCTTGAAAATTCCAAATTTGAAAAAGACAGGTAACTGAATGGCTATTCATTGCATCAGGGAGTGCATGGAGAGTTTATTATTGGCTTTCCAACCAGTGGGCACCTCATTTTCAATCTGGGGATCCTGCAGCCCTCTGGAATCAATATCGAGTTTAATAATTTTAGGGCCTGAACTCTCCCATGTCCTAGTCCCCCAACCCACAGGCCTTGTTATCACATAGCCTGCCATTACACACTACCTATTGTTGGTCACTAACAGTCTCCATTAACAGCTATTCACCCTCCCAGCCAGATTGTTATCAACTCCTTTATCTGTCCAACTGTTCTTTTCTCTCTTTGGGCTCTATTCCCACTTATCGTTTACTCCTTAGTTTACTCCTTGATGACTCCACCATCTTCTGCATACAAACCCACATTTTCCCAGCTACCATCAGTTCTGAGGAAGGGTCACTGGACCCGAAACGTTAACTCTGATTTCTCTTCACTGAGGCTGCCAGACCTGCTGAGCTTTTCCAGCAACTTCTTTCATTGTCTATGAGATCTTGGATTGTCTGTGGTTCATAGGTAATGTTTTAATTCTAAGGTCATTTGTGATTACTTCAGCTTCATACGGATGATGACGATTGACCTGTAATCGATTAGATGGTCAAGTTTGTTTGTGAGCAGAATTTGTCCACCACGCAATTGGAAGTTGTATGCATTTCACATGCAGAGTACTATGATTAGTTGTTTTCTACCTATACCGTGTAAGCGTCATGTTAACGCAATTGCCAATTCAAGGGCCTCACATCACACACAAATAGATCGAAAATAGTTATTTACTCCACCCACTCCATTGCCTGAAATGGTGGTTGAGTCAGAAACTCTCATAACATTTAAGCAGTATTTAGAAGTTTATTTGAGTTGACATTGCTCCAGGACTATGGGCCAAAAACAGGTAAATGGGATTAGTGTAGTCAGATCTTTGTTGATTGATATGAAATCTATGGGCCGAATATGGACTCTGCGCTGTGAATGTGTGTAATTCTATGAGATGTATGTTGAATTTTCTTCCTTTTCAATTATTGTCCCCTCTACATTCCCATATTTGATTTCCCTAACTTCCTTACCACAGTGAAACCCACTGCAAAACCCATTGACGTTTAATAAAAAGGTCTTCAAAACTGACTGTGGAAGGACAGGTCCTGACTGATGGAATGACCAGATCCCTAACTGATCTCTGTGCAATT